ACGAACTGGGGCCGGCGGATCAAGGGCCCGCGGCCGGGTAGAGGATGCAGCCTGGCACAAGTTGCAACGCACGCCGCTGCAAATATTCCTGCTAGGTAACCCCGCAGACAAGCACAACCAGCTCCCTTTACGCGCATGCACTGGCAGTATACACAATAGTTAAGCGCTTATTCGGCTTTGCATAACCGCTCGACCCAACAAGTAAGGATATAAGCGCCAACTTACACTGGCCATGCTGCACAGCTGAAGAGATATTACTTTGCTGAGGGGCGCATCATATGTCGCCAACAGGAACTGGCGATCCACTCATTGTTTTTCTTGACCCTGCCATGGCCCGATAAAGCATGATATTATGGAATCTCCGCAAAATATTTGTGAGGAGTGAAATTGAAACGTATAATCCGCTGAGCCCCCGATTTGTCTGTTACCACAAGAGATTGCCGTCTTTGTGTTCCTTCGTCCATTGCTGAGCTTAGCAAGAAACCACACCTGTATAAGTATATAAGGAGCAGTAACGTAGTTTAGTAAGAAAACGAGAATATTCGCAGACAAATGCGATTGCAGAACACATTGCTTGAGCGGTCGGGCAACAGGAGTGTTCAACAGCAGCCACGTTGGAGCTGCAATAGAAACGCGTGAACGGCGTGAGCCAGCAAAACCACCGAACAATTTTTTCATTATCGTTGTATTGAAAAGTCTTCGGCAGCTGCGCGTTGGGGATTGGCTATGGCTCTGAATGGTGATTTCCTGCAGTCCAGGTAATGGCAAAAGTTTTTTGCTCGCGGATCGCGTCGAGCTCCCCACTCACCGGGTACTTCGGCAGTTTTTCCGTGAAACAGTGTAAGTAGCAGGCAGTTATTTGATGCTTTATCGAGTCGTTTGGCTACTGTGGGGGCATCAGCTCAGCTGATGTGTCATTTGTATCGGTAGTTAGGAAGGAGCAACTACGGAAATCAGGGGGCACGAGTACGCCAGACAGCGTCATGCTTCTGATGTGGCTTCTATCTGCACTTTTTTCTCTCTTTCTGTACAAACTGGACCGGGTTGTACTCTTGAAAAGATGATACAGGACTCTAATAAGCTAGTTGCTTGCATGCAAAACTAACATTTTTGTGCCGTGGAGAATCCCTGCTGGTGCGTTGCGTTGTGGCTTATCTCAGGCCGCCAGCTCTTAGACCATCCCGAGGCCATTGGGTCGCTTTGCCGAGGTCTCCTGGAGACAGGAGAGGATGTTTTCTGCTTTTTAAAAGCTCCTGCATTAAGGGTTTTGACTCTATTGCAGTTCACAAAGTCCTCGGGCAAAATCAAGGTCTCTCGTTTTAGAACCCCTCATGCAAGAGTGCAAATCCCAGTTTCATGCATGCGAAAACAACTACACACGGTTGTTCAACATCTGGTTTGTATATTTCTACCTGTGTGCAGGCTGGCTGCTCAGGCCCAACAACCTCAGAGAGATCACGCTACAGGGACACTGAGAGCACTTGTTCTGTATCAGGCGTTCCTTTTAGGAGGTAAATACACCAGCCTGGCAGTTCATTTGAGTTCATACTGTGGGGGGCAAGTAAGAAACATGACGAGTTTATATGAAAACAGATCAGCTAGTAAACACCAAGCAGATCTTTATTCCCAGGCAGAGCTGGTGTGTACGTACACCGCAAGTTAGCTGTTTCCAGTTGATCCTTCCACAGAGTTGTGTTGTTTTTATCTGAAGAAGCTGAAGTGCAAGAAGCTGGTGAGGCGGTGAAGCGTGCTGGTGTTTTTCTTTGCCGGTCCTCTGATATGTGTAAATACTGAGGAGGTCACAGGGGCTTATCGCCTGGCACATTGACTCTGTATGCCGTTTCAAGTGTATATTGAACATTTTCTAAATACTTTTATTCTGCTGTTTTATTATTTCATTTCTTTTTCAGCAACAGACACCAACCCTAGCCTCGGGGTAGTCCACTGAGCGACGCCGCTACAACGGCGTGCCTTGTCGCCTCTCTGGCTGTACATGCGCAAAGTCCTTCTATTTTCCCTTTTAATTTCATTCATTTAAAACAAAATTAACGCCAAAAACCCTAAAACTCCCATCAGAGAAAGGCAGGCTGCCGTTGCTGCTGAGCCAGCGTCCGGCCTGCTGCTGCTGCTGCCGCTGCTGCTGCTGCCGCCACAGCAGCAGCGGTTTCCGGTGAATTCTGAACCTTATACACTCTTGTCTTTGGCTTTTACAAGTTAAATCCATTTAATGAAACCCCTAGTGGGTGCCTGGCGATGTTTCAGTGCCTTTGCATAAGTAGCGGCAGGGAGCAACAACAACCGCAGCAGCAGCGGCAGCAACAGCAGCAGCAACAGCAACAGTAACAGCATCCAGGGCAGCTAGTGCCTCATCAATAGACTCTACAGCATCAGCCTGAACCAGTGCAGTAGCAGCAGCAGCTGCTTTTCTGGAAGTCAATCACTGTACTGGTCTCAGGTGTATCTGCTGCTGCCGCAGCAGTGGGTTGAATGACTAGCAGTTTCACTTTTTATTTGCAGCAGCAGCTGCTGCGATGATTAGTCAGCCTTCGGAGAGTCCCAGAGGGGGCCAAGATACCCGGAGGCCCGACAGCAGCAGCGTGAGCAGCAGCAGCTTGAGCAATAGCAGCGGGAGCAGCAGCAGCAGCAGCAGTAGCAGCAGCAGCAGCAGCAGCAGCACAAACGGAAACAGCAGTGGCAATAGCACCATACGGAAGCGACACGCTTCCCCACAATGCGCCGACCCGACAGCCCCTGCTGCGGGTGGGGTGAGTGCGCCTGTGTCTTTCCGCAGCAGCGGGAGCAACGGCAGCAGCAGCAACAACAGCAGCAGCAACAACAGCAGCAGCAGGAGTGCTAGCAACAGTGGTGGTGTGGGGGCTCGTACAGGGAGCGGTATCTGGGGCTGCGTTCGCAGCGGTTTATTTCCTTTGGGTTTTTCCTTTCTTACATCGCTGAAGGGGCAGACAACTGAGGCGCCTTGGGGCCCCCATGGGGCCCCCCAAGAGGCGTGGAGGTCTTCTTATGCGTGTATAGCAGCAGCAGCTGGAAAGCTGCGTCGGCGTTTGAGTGTGTTGCTGCAGCTGCCGCTGCTGGTGCTGCTGCACCTGTGCCCCGTGGTGGGGCGCCTCGCAGAGTGGGTGTTTCACTTGAGTTCAGTGGGGGCCCCCGGCCTGCTGTACCCTTTTTGTTGTTTGTTTGTAGGTGTAGGGACCCCATTTATTTCTCTCACAGCTCTTTGTCTTTGGCTGCTAGATCTCCTTGATGCTGCACTCGTGCTGCCGCAGGCAGCAGCAGCAGAATTTGCTTCTCTTGGGGGGGCCCCCCCGGCTATACCCATACTAGACCATTTCAGCCTCTTCCCTGTGTGGTGTGAATCCTTCACATGTGGGGCCTTCAGCAGCAGCAGCAGCAGCAGCAGCGGTAGCAGCGGCAGTAGCAGGATCCCTGGGGCCCCAGCCGAGGGGCCCTATGGTGGTGTAGACCTATGGGGCCTCTGCCTGCCGCTTGGGGGGGGCCCCTCCCCCTGGAGGACCCCTGAAAACAGGGGCCCCCTGTGGAACGGAGGGTCTAGAGCAGCGTTTCATCTCAGCGTATATTGCCGCATCATCGTTGACATCCCCCTGCTGACGCTGGCGCTACACCTCGCACGGTGGCTGCATGCACAGGGAGAGATATTTGGGGCCCCCCTCAGCATACAAGAGGCACATGGGGGCCCCCAAGGCCCCTGGGGGACGATGGGGGCNGCTGCTGCTGCTGTAGATGCTGCTGCAGATGCTGGTGGTGCAGCAGCAGCAGCAGCAGCAGGCAATTCCAGCGCCGCCGGCGCACCGAGCACTGCCAGCATAAACAGAAGCAACAGTAGCGGCGGCAGCAGCAACAGCAGCAGCAGCAGCAACAGCAGCAGCAGCAGTGGCGACGGCGGCAGCAGCAGCACACCTCTTCCGTCGCCTACCAGTGACTCTCAGGAGCAGGGCCCCGGGAGAGAGGCTGCTGGGGGCCCCTCTGCTGCTGCATTTGGGTCTTGGGCTGTATCTGTGGCGTCGCGGTGGATGGGGTACAGTGTACAGCTGCTGCAGCGATGCCTGCAGTTTCCTCCGTGTTTGTTTTTTCGTTCTCCTTCACGAAGGTTGTACTTCTCTGCTTTTTCTTATATGCTGGTTCGTTGGCTGTATACTGATCGTCTTGATCTGCTGCTGGGGGCCCCCCCTTCGGCTGTAGTGGGGCCCCTAGCGAAGGGGCCCCCAGAGGGTCAGGCTCTGCTGATGGGGCTGTCTCTTGGCTGTGCTGTTTGTCTCGTTGCTTCCTTTCTCTTTCTCTCTCTCTTGAAAGCTGTCAACCTCTTGCCGGCGAGTCTTCTACACCACATCCGCGTCCTCAGCTGCACGCACTTGCTGCTGCAGGGCAGCAGCAGCAACAGCAAGACACTGGGTGGCCCTCAGCAGCAGCACACCACCACCCTCGCTCGCCCAGAAGGACAGACTACGCCATCATCTGTACACTCTAAAGAAGTAGAGGTACGNCAGTGGTGGTGTTGCTTGCTGCTTCTGTTGCTGTTGCATTTTCGCTTGATGCTGCTGCTGATGCAGCTAAGCAGCAGCACCAACGTGCTTGGCTGTTTGACGTGTTCTCTTATGTATGAGGGGTCAGGCTGTATTGTTATGCTTAGTACATTAGGGTTTAGGGTTTAGGGTTTAGGGTTTATGTCTGTCTGTGCTTGAAGGCTTGCATATTCTGCTTCGATGACATGAAGCCTGGGGAACTTCTTCGGGTTGTCACTGCTTGCGGCCACAAGTTTCACGGTGAGCTTTCACCTCACGAACCCTTGGGGGCCCCTTGGGGGCCCCCCTTTCTCTCCTTTCGGGGGCCCCTAGTGGCCGTTTAGGGGGCTAGTAGGGGCCCCAGGCGGCACGGGGGCGAGGGCTTGTGAAACACTATAGGGGGACATTCACACGCTTAAGGGGGCGGTTTGGGGCTGCTGCAGGGGCCCCCAGAGAGATATGATTTCTTAGAGAGGCCCTGTAGGCTGGAGAGGCTGAAGCGAGCAGCAGCTGGTGTTACTGCTGACGCTGCTTGGTGGTGCTGCTGTTGCTGTTGCTGCCGTTGTTGCTGTTTCTGCTGTTTTGTAACGCTTTTGCAGCCTTGTGTATGAAAAGGGGTCGGATCAGGGTTTAGGGTTTGGAGTGTAGGGTTTGAATATGCTTGGGATTAGGGTTTAGGGTTTAGGGTNTCGGATCAGGGTTTAGGGTTTGGAGTGTAGGGTTTGAATATGCTTGGGATTAGGGTTTAGGGTTTAGGGTTTAGGGTTTGTGTTTTGTGTTCAGCTGTCTGTCTTGACGTTTGGCTGTTTGATCGACTGAAGGCATCTTGTCCAATGTGTGGCCCCTTTCGCTACCCCAGTGGGGGGGGGAGCCCCCGTGCGGCCTAATTCTAGCAGGGGCCCCCAGACCCAGTATTACAGACAGCAGGGGGCCCCCAAGAACCCATGGGGGCCCCTGCTGTAACGGTGGATATACAGGTGAATTCTGTGAGGCCTTGAGGGGCCCCAAAAAGTTTTCCGTGGGGAGGAGGCCACCCCTGACTAGGACCCCCTAGATGATGGGGCCCCTGTGGGATGCGTTTGGGGTTTCCTTGCAAGGGGGCCCCCAGGGGCCCCCCAGAGAGGCCCCTTTTCTCTGAAATGTGCACGCAGCAGCGGCGGTCCTCGCAGGGGCCCCTCAGGAATTGATCGGATTTGGACTGTACCCTCAGGCAACAGCAAATATCATTCCGTCGCAGCAACAGCCGTTGCTGCTGTTGCTGCGGCTGCTGCAGCTGCTCTTGCATCCATTTCCAGTGCTGCGTAGGGCTGCGCGCCCGGCGTTGTGTGTAGTTCTGGAGGCGCTGATGTGTGTAAATCCATTTGGGAGGAATGCGAACACGAAGTAGACGTCTCCGCCAGGTGTATGTTCACTTGTCAGGTGTATGTTCACTTCATTCGCCCTGCAGTGGGTGGGTGCGTGTACACTCGGGATGCATGTGAAGCACGCCCCTTTCTTCTAGCAGGCAGCTAACAGGCATTTGCACACAACTGGACACTGCGTTGTGTTGCGCGCTGCATGCACGGAAGCGGATCGCCACATGCATATTTTGGGTGTACGTACAGGGAGGGCTTCATCATGCTTTTGTTTAGGGGCACCAAGGCCCTTCTTGCCGTTACGTGCAAACTGGTTGTCTTTAATGCTTGCGTATTTATATGATGCAGGATATAGGGTTTGGCTTCACGCTTGTGGCTTAGTGTTTAGGGGGTTGGGTTTCGCCTGAGGGCTTGAGCACAGTGTTAGGGGTTTTAGGTCAGGGCTAGGGTTAGGGTTTACTTGCGAGCGAGCTACACATGTAACAGCTGATGCACTTACAAAC